CAAGACCCTCCTTGCCTGGGGAGGGACCAGCCTCTTGCTTTCCAGGCTGGGCAGGCCAAAGGAAAGCAGCAGAGAGGGAGTGAGGGTTTGGAAAGGTGGAAGTGATCTGAGAGGGTGAGGAGGGGCCTGGAGGTGACTGTTCACAGAGAGGAGGCAGAGCGAAACGGGCTGTCCACTCTGACCCTAAATGATGTGGAAATTGGTGACTTGTCTACCCTGCAGTCCACACGCTGGGTGTATGTACTCAGGCAGCGCTGTACCCAGAACCAGCTGCCCCTTCCTTCTCCCTGGAACCCCAGCCTCTCCTTGGATGTGCAGGAATCTTCCCCTCCATCCAGTGGTGGCCGGAGAGTCCTGAGATGAAAGTGCCAATTTTCCCTGCCTCCATGGGCAATGCCCCCTCAGCAGTTGCCGCTGTGTTAAGAGCTGTCTAATCATCCCCCAGCCAGGAGCAGCAGGGGTCTGTGTAAAAGTGGGGGCCAAGCGGAGTGGAGAGAGGGGGTGGTCTGGGGAGGAGACCACGTGCAGGGACCACTCTGTGAGGCCTGGCATGGCCAGGACACCATGTTAAGGGTCTGCATGATTCTGGAAGTCTGCATAGCACAGTGACGATCAGCTCAGTTCCAGAGTCCAAAAGCCAATTCAAATCCCGGCTTCACCAGAGAGTGCTGTCTGACCATGGGCATGTTCCTAACCTTGCTATGGATCTGTTTTCTTATCAACAAAATAGGGTGGTAATGGGATGCTAGAATCGCACAGAGGATTCTTGTGAGCACTAAAGGAGGTAGTTAATTCAAGAGATCTTGGCACATAGGAGGAGCTTCCCAAATGTAAACTGTAGGGTTCCTTCCCCATCTTCTCATAATGGCCTTTGACCCCAGATAGGATGACAGCACAGGCAGTTTTAAGATCCTGAATTGTATGATTGAATGGCCCCTTCAAGGTCTCCCAGCCCACCCTTCTCCAGGACATCCATGTCAGCTACCCCAGGTGCCATTTCATTGTTCAACAGTGTTCCCAGAAAGTTGTGTTTTACTCTGGCCTAACCTGGGTTGTAGCAAAACAAAATAACTTCCCCTGCCCCCTCCAAGTAATAGCTCCTGGCGTTCTGGAAGCTGACCATGGCTCTCTCTCTGGATCCCCACTTCTTCAGGTGTGGTCCATGGGCCTGCCACATCATTGTTACCTGGGAGCTTGTGAGAAGTGCAGAATCTAGAGCCCCAGCCCAGGCCTGCTGAGTCAGACCCTACATTTGGATCGGATCCCAGGGAATTTGTACACACAGTGCAAATAGGCTGCTCCCCACCATCTAAGAGACCATGGGCCAGGTCTCAGCGAGGTGCCATGAGGAAATGTGAGCTCCCTGCAAGGAAATTATCATTAATGACAGTTACAGTACCAACATTTGCAAATAATGTCAGTTTCTGGAAAAGGAAATTAGAGCTGATTCAAGGTTATTCCTGTTTCGATGTTACCCTTACACGCTTGCATTCTGACGTGCTTTCTTGCATGAGAGAATGCAAGAAACGCATGATGAAACGCCCGGGGACCCATTCAGCAGGTGTCTTTTGGGGAGGGAGGAGGATAAACCACTGACCTAACTCACCCTCCTGCCTGAACAGGAGTCCTGTCCACCATGTTCCCAAGAGGAGGTCAGTAAATGGTGGGGGACACAGAAGCTCCCCACTGCCCAAGGTAGCCTCATGGTTGCTGGATGACTCTCGTCCTTGGAAAGTTCTTCCTTGCATTGATCTGAAAGATGATCCCCTGGAACTCCCACCCCTGGGCCCTCATTCAGACTTATTCCACCTCCTCTTTTATATGATGTCTCTATTGGTTTCTTGTGGCTGCTGTAACAAATTGCCACCAACTGGAGGCTTGCAACAACAGAAGTTGATTCTCTCACAGTTGTGGAGGCTGAAGTCCAAAATCAAGGTGTCATCAGGGCTGCACTCTCTCCAAAGTCTCCAGGGAAGGAGACTTCCTTGCGTCTTTCCTGGTGTCCTTGGCTTGTGTCTGTGTCACACCAATCTCTGCCTCTGTCATCAGACGTCTTTCTCTGCTCTCTCCCAAATCTCCTCTGCCTTTCTTATGACACCTGCCATTGGATTTAAGGCCCTACCTCTAGGATGATCTCATTTTGAGATCCTTCACCTAGTTACATCTGCAAAGACTCCTTTTCCAAATAAGGTCACATTCGCAGATTCTGGCCGTAAGGACTGAAATAAATCATTTGGGGGTCACCATTCAACCCACGACACGGTCCATTCACATATTTAAAGGCGTGCTCTCAACCTGTCTCCTCTTCCCCAGGCAACACCAAGTCCCGGGACCCTTTAGCAGGTCTTCAATGCAACCTACTGTTGCACTTGCACAGGGCACAGGCAGGGTGCTGGCCTCCTCCTCCCAGACAAAGGAGTTGAATGACTTTAACCTCTTAGGGCAGGGTGACCTACAGTGGTGGTGGGTGTCACTTGGGCAGAGAACTCAGAAAAGAAGACTCCTAAAAGTGGGGCTGGAATTACAGTGAGGCAAGAGAGGTGCCCAGGGTGCAGGATTTAAGGTGGCACTCACTCTCAGGCCCGTGTAAGTGCAGGGTGGGCCCCTGAGCATAAGCCCCACCTTAAATTTGCACCCTGGACCTCCTCCTCCTTCCCCAAGTCCTGGCACTGCCCTGAAGAAGCCAGCCTGGGGGTTTCTGGGCTGCTTCTCTGGAGAAATTTTCCAGAACTGAGCCAGCAAGGACACGAGTGGGCTGCCTGGGCGGGGGAGGGGGAGGCTCCCTACACTCTGCCAGGATGCTCCCCTCAGCTTTCCCTCCAGATTCCCAGGGGTTGCAGCCCCTCTCCTGCTTGGTGCAGAGTCAGGGAGAGTTCCCGGGAGAGGAAATGGCACATGGCAGAGAATTGCTTTCCCTGAGGGTCTTGGCCACTGCTCCTTGTTCACAATTCATGTGGCTCATGTGCACAGTGCCCCCTGGAGTTGGGCGGCGTGCAAGTTCTGCAGGTGTTCGAGGTACTCCTGGGCAGGCCACACGAGCCTCCGAGACCTTCCACAGGCTTCCACTCGTAAGGCCCCTCTGGAGGCTGAGGGTGAGTCTTGCCCAGCATGGTACCCTCCAGGCATCATCCAGGTGGTCTTCTCCCACCTCACCTGGTAGCAGGTTTCCCAGCCTTCCCCTTCTCCCTCAGCCACCTGGGCTCTGCTAACCACCCTCATTTGTTCAGCTGTTTTGCAGTTTTGCAAAGCACTTTTTATACTCCCTTTAATGGGACCTTAGCAACACCCTTGACCTTCATTCATTAGCCCCATTTACCAACAATGAACCAGACTCTCAGGAAGTGAACGAGCTGCCCCAGGCTCTGCAGCTCAGAATTGGGGGTCAGGACTAGACCCCCGTCCATCCCTCCATGTGATCGCTGCTCCTCTTCAGCTTGGAATAAACAAGCAACGGGAGCGCCCAGCGAGTCTAGGGAAGGTGGCAGGACCACGGGCACGTTGCCTGGTTACCTACGGTCACCTCTTCTAACCAACAGGAAGAATCCATGAAGAACAGGGCCTCCTGGCCTGATAGGAAAGGGATTTGTCTGGTTATTGAACTTTGCCAAGTGGCACCGAAGAAACACAGCAGGTGGCCAGGCCAGGATGGGTGGGGACAAAAGAGAGTCTGCTGGGTTCCTGGGGCTGCTAAATCAGCTGTCACCATCTCCTGCCTGCACAGCAGCACATTCTCTGGTTTCACTCAAAGGCAGCTCATGCCTGAATCGTTCATCCTGGGGAAGGTTCACCGACGGGCCCACCTCTGTCCTGAGATGGAACTGGGAAAGCTGGGTGGTGTTACTCTGTGCTCCCTGTTCTGTCCCTTCCACCCCGGTGTGACCCATGGGACAGCTGAGAAATCAATAACACTTTCCCCTTGGTTGGCTTCCAACTCTAATGGGTATGTGCTTAGAGCATCCAGCAAGATCGGCTCATCTGAAGCCACTTGGGAAGACCCGGGGAAGTCTCTCCATCCAAGCTGGCAAGAAGCAGGCATGAGCCCCAGCGTGTGCCCAGATTCATCAGGATAAATGCCACCTGTAGGTACTCAGACTCTGGGTGGCAGGGCTGTATGAGCCAATCTGAGATGGCTCTTGCCTCTGCTGCCAGCCACTGCCTACCCATCTCAGGAAGGGCAGGGTATCAATCTGCCACTGGTCCTCGGGCCTGGTTCTTTGAGTTCATCTGGGTTAAGTCCTTAACTCCACTATTTCCTGGGTGACCTGAAACCAGTGATCAACCTTTCTGAGTGTAGGCTTCTTTTTCTGTAAAGTGAAAATCATAATAGGACCTCCTACCTTATTGGTTGTTAAAAGGATCACATTAGTTGATGGATGGGAAAGTGCTTTGTAATCTGTGAGATGCCTCACAGCTGATGTCATCACTGTTGTGTTGGAGAGGCTGGGGTGGGGCATCCACCTTCTGTCCCTTGTCATGCTACCACTAGTACCAAGTTTCCAGTCATAATGTCTGGACCCGTTGCTGCTGTTATGGGCTGAATCATGTCCCTTCCAAATTCATATCTTGAAGTCCTAACCCCCAGCACCTCAGAATGTTACCATGTTTGCAGATAGGGTCTTTAAAGAGGTAATTAAGTTAAAATGAGGTGGTTTGAGGGGGTCCTAATTCAATGTGACTGGTGTCTTTGTAGGAAGAGGAGATTTGAACACAGGTGTGCAGAGGAAAGACCATGCAAAGACATAGGGAGAAGACAGCCATTTGCAAACCAAGGAGAGCGGCCTCGGAAGAAACAACCCTGCCAGCACCTTGAGTTTGGACGTCCAGCCTCCAGGACCGAGGCAATAAATTTGTTGTTTAAGTCCCCGAGTCTGTAGTAGTTTGTCATGGCAGCCCTAGAAAACTAATGTTCACCACCCTGGGCTCTGGGAAGTGTTGACTCTGCAGGATGTCAATAGGGCTTGTGTAAAAACAGGGTTCTGTAGTCAAACAAGTTTGGGAACCACTGGGTTGGGCAAAGCTAAGTGGGTTTTCTTTGCTGGAATGCTCTTGACAGCCATGACCATGCTCATGGGTATTTTGACTCTCTGGGCAGGTGACAGATTATGTAGCATTTCCCAGACTGACTTAAACATGGAAACCTTTCATTGCAAGGCATGGGATGCGTGTTCTGTAGAGCAAACCTGCCAACATTCTGGAAATTTCTGGCTCCAAGGGTCATTCTGTATCAAGGGCTCTGCCATCTGCCCCTTCTTCCTCCTGCCCCTCCCCACTTACTGGGAGCTGGGAGAAGGTAGGAGCCTAGACCAGTCAGCTGGGGTAGGGTGGGAGAATGGGGTGGGGGAGGGGAGGGCTGCATTCATGCCAGTGCCCTCTCTTGTGCTGGAGAGTCAGTCGATCTCCCTTATCAGACAAGCAGCAGGGCCAGCTGGAGCTCAGTGTTTTATGGCCCTATCATGTGTGAGATCTTGCCCATTAGGGAGAAGCTGTCAACAGAAAACATAGATTTCAAGACACACTTTCTACTCCGGGATTATGAATAACCCCTCCGATCATTAGAACCAGAGCATTTTTTAAAAATCCAATTTGTTTCCCACTTTGAAACCCATTTAGTTTGCTTTCTGTCCTCTGTGTTAGGAAGGGAGGGCTAGAGGCTGGAGCCTTCCAGAATCCTGGATCTTGAAAACTTGCACCCCCTGAATCTGTGGAAGACCCTCATCAGAAACCTTCATTTTTCCTGAAATCATCAGTTATCCATTTCCTGTAACCCAGCTGTGTATTTCTATTGGAAGGTACCCCTTTGTAGTTAGACAGAGCTGAAGGGACCCCTACAGCATGGGTCAGCATCCCCAAAGGAGGGAGGGCATGCCCCAGAGGGCCAGGCTGTGAGTGGCCTACAGGGAAACATTCCAGAGGGTCTCCCAGCAGGGAAGTTTGGAAAGGTGCTGATTTTAATTTGACAGGCCCTGAAGCAATGCATAAATCCAAGGTTAAAAGAAAACAAAAAAATATTAACCAGGCAAAGGCACCATGAAAAATCCCTATTTCTGTCTCTCTCCTCACCAGTGATGGAAACTGGGGCTTCCTAGAAGAAACGATAACTTCCCTACCTCCCTCCGTCTGTGTGGCTTCATCACTGCAGTAAAAACTGACACAAGAGATTCATTGGAACATGTGCCCTCGTTCCACCCCCATCAGCCCACCACAGGGACAGAGCTGTTCATCTTCTTTTTGGCTCAGCTTGCAGCTCTGGAACACTTGTGAGGGGCACCTTGCCCAGCTCCGTGATCAGATGAGGCATGTGGGCTCTTCTGAAGGCTGGCACTCTCCAAGGTCGCAGTTCGTCTACCTTCTCAGGCCAGGCCAGGCCAGAGTGGACAAGGTCTTCTCAGCAGGCCAGATGAGTCTCCCAGGAGGCTGGGCTGCAGAGGTTTGGCCCACCTGTTCCGTGCCTCCACAAACCCTCATTTCTGCTGCCTGACTTGTGCTGTGTGCCAAACAGCAGCTGAGTGGGGTACCCTCCCTGCCCTGCTCTGGCACAGGCCAATGTCCTGGAGGGAGAGGGGCACAGGAGAAGCTGTTTACAAAACCACCGAATGCTGTAGCAGGGGCATAGGTGGGAGTGACCAGGAGCCCAGAGGACATGGTGGCTGGCCCTGGAGGCATTGGGGAGGTGTTAGAAGAGAGGGCTATTGAGCTGGGCCTGCGGTATAGCTAGGAGTCCAGCAGGCAGACGAGATGGTTTGCTTTCCTTGCCCTAGTCTCTGCAGTCACCACTATGTACATATGACTCATCCTGTTCTCCCCCCTGGAATGTCTGAAATCCCTATCCCGCTACGGTACCAACTCCGCCAGGGCAAGGCCTTTTTCTAGTTCATTCATCAGCATTTCCCAGTGCCGGGCTCAGTACACAGCAGGTGCTCAAAACTGAGTCGGGTGGTTGGGAATTAAAGGGCAGGAATTACAGCACGTGGGAGGGCCGCGGACAGAGAATGACACGTGCTTGCCCTGCCCCCGTGGTCTTTCAGGAATCTCGCCAGGCTTCCTTCGCACCCTGACAGGTATCAGGATGGCATTGCCAAGAGATTAATGGCCACAGATCCTTCCCCTTTATAACTCCTAGATGCACCCAGTGTTGCCATGGCGAAGGCCCCAGATGAGGTCCCTGGGGGGCCGGGAGGAAGGAAGTGGCGGTGGGAGCCACTGGAGCCACTGGCTGTCCCCACCCCACACCCATCTCAGGCACCTACGAGCCGGCCTGGCCTCTGGACTCAGGCTCCGGCTTCTGCCTCCATGGAGCCCTCGTCCCTTTTATCTCTCATTTGTAAGTGGGCTGAGGCCCAAGCAAAAGATGCATCAGGAATCCGGCCGGGTTCCCAGACACTTAATTGGAGCTGGGCTCTTCATTACCTGCACACCTGTTCTCCAACACCATATGGTCCGAGGTAAATAGACTGTAATTGTTTATCCAGAGTCGGTTCTGCCGTGAGTGCGTGTGTGCGGGGCCTCCCCTCACCCCCGCATCCTTCCCCCAGCCTGGTCCCTCTCCCAGCTGCCGAAGGACAAAGCCCCGCACAAGGTTAAAGAGTTTACGGCTGTCCCAGCAGAGTGGCCTTCCACGTCCAGGGTCCACCTTGGAGCAGCTTCTCTGCCAGCTCCAAGGAGAGGCCCCTGCCCAGCTATGTTAGCTGTCAGGGGCTTGGCAGCTGTGGCTCCCTGCCCTTGCCAACCTAGTTGGGCAGGCTGCACCTCGTAGCCCTGGGCTCACTGATCTTCCCCCGTGGAGGCCAGAGGATGTCTGAGAAGGGCCTGAGCTTCGGAGCCTGGCAAGCCTAGGCCCC